AGGGATCCAGATTAGAGCTGATAACAGAGATCATGGAAGGAGTTATATGTTTATCATTCAATAGAGACTCAGTTCTAAGTGGAAAGTCAGGCAAGGATAATAATGTTTTAGTGATACAAGTCTTACTAATTAATCCATAGCTGGGGAAAGAAGGTGGATTTATACCTAATAAGAATTTGATAAACAAGAAATGTGGACATAAAATGGGGGATAAATTCTATATAAGACTTAATATGTAAAATGATCCCTCACTTTCTATGTATTTATATTCCAGAGAATGTAAATAAATCTAAAAGCCATGATTGTGTAACTAATCAGTATTTCATTGATTGTTTTCCATAGTTTATCAACTCAATGCAAGTTATTTAAAGGTAGAAAATATTTTTAGATTGTAAGAATTTTTTTTTGAAAATGATTTAGTGATACAGTCTTACTAATTAACCCATAGCTGGGAGGAGAAGGGTATTTGTGTGTAGATTAATGTAAAGAATTCAACTGGAAATGGAACTCAGCTCTCTGATTAACAATTCCAAAGCATTATCCATTATACGAACTGCACATCCAAAAGCAAATGTTGTGTTCATAAATTTAATGTTTGTTTTAACAGTATGAAACTCCCTGAAGCATTTTATGCACAATAGAGTTGTGCATTCTTTGCACCAAATTGGCAGCAAGGTCTCATCATTTTACAGTTGAAATGACTAGATGTGTCGGTTGACATAGCTAAAATCACGTCTATAGTGGTCGCTTAAGCCTATATGAAGGCATTCATTTTGTCCCTATTCTTTTACATCATCTGGCTATAAGATGTAGTTGCACATAAGGAAAAAGTGTCCTCTCACAACTGGAGCACACTCCTCTTCCTTGAGTTCTGTCTTGACTTTTTGTACTCTCTCTCACACACATACACATTCTTATTATTTCATGTTTTATCCTTTTCATCACATGTAATTCTTTTGTATTATGTGTTGTCATTTGTGTCATATCGTTTTGTGTTACTCATTTTTACTTGGATTAACTCTGAGTCCACCAATATTATTTATGGGATAAATGTTCCAGAAATCCAGAAATATTTACTCTCCAAAGTACTGATTTCCACAACATTATGATGACTAAATATTTACCCAATCATAATCATAATCCTGCAACAAATGTAACCGTATGTCCTATGCTAACAGTTTCTTCTATCACACTTTTTGCATATGAAACTCTTCTGGCTTCTTTCGTTCCAGTCAAATTTGATCTTCAAAAATTTGAATGCAATGTCATTCATTATCTTCTATCTTCTTAATTGTTGTTATTTTATTGTTTTCTCTCCTTAATAATATATTTTTATCATATTCTCTAACATTCAGTAACTCCTTCAATAAAGCCACTAAGAAGTGGCTTTATTGTCTTGCTTGGGTTGAAATGATTAAAAAGAAAGTTGTCACCATTTTTTGCCTCTTTTCTCTTCAAGAAATATGCATGCAGACATAGCACTCTCTCATAGCTTTTTTGTCCAGCTTTATTTGCAGGCAAATACTTCAGTAAATGAAGGAATATATTGGTGCACCTCCAAAACTCATGCTGACCATAGATTAGCAGCTAATCTCACCTTTAATCCAGCTCTAACATCACAGTGGGAGCGGGAGGACTGGCTGGTTGCATTCCATGCTTTGCAAAATCAAACTAGTTACATTCCATCATTGCCAATCAGACCCTGAACCACCACCAGTCATGATGAACAGATGTTCTCTCAGGAAGTCCCTGTGTTTTGAACAACTATTGGGCCTCAAGTAGAACTCAAACCTCAAGTGGAACTCTTACATACAATCTATTGCTAAAGATGCAGGACAAATAGATGGTTCCCTGTATCACACCAATAAGTACCTGACTCCTCATGCTATCCTCTACCTTTACAGGAGCTAAATCAGGTGTAAAATGAAGTACTGCTGTCATGTTTATGTAGGAGATGCCCAGTCCTCACAGACTCCAAAAGCGTCTCCATATCCTTGTGAGTGATAAATTGTTTTCCACCTTGCAATCCCTCTCTCACAGACATGGGATATGGCAAACCTCTCACCCCTTCTATCACTAGTTCCATGGAAAGTGCTCAGATGAACTACATTCCTTAGTTCCACCAGTTCTAACCTTCACCGGCTAGGACCTGCCATATTGTGTAAACCCCCCTGGTTCCCTCCATATTCCATTGGTGAGAAGTAAGTTCCCCTCAAGTAGCTTCATCCTATGGACCACTACTCTGTGGAACAGACTCCCCCAGAGGATGTTTTCCCAATCACTACAATCCTAACCTGTTCTAGTATAGAGTTAACCATTATCTTCCCCACCCATGTTCATAAACTGTGCCATTTACTCTGTAACTCTCTACCTCAAGTGGCTCCTGAGCCTTGTACAGAGTGAACCTCACTTTAAAAAAATAAACACTAACCTCATGAATTCCAAAGTTGCCAATTAGTCATTTAGACTCAAATCATGAATGAATGATGCTCACATGATTGAAATATCGATATTTGCTGATCTTCAATGAAACATCAAATGTTTAATGGTTAAATAAAAGAATCAGTTTGAAATTCCCTAAATGCTATCCAAGTCAAGACACTTAAAGTGGACTAGAAGGTACAACATCCGAAATGTGTTAATAGCAAAGATGAGCACTATATTCTAATTTTTTTTTTAATTCAGCAGTAATTTTTTTTTAAATTATATAAGCATATGCTAAGTCCAGTTATAATATTTCATATTCATGTTTTTTAAATTTTTTATTACATATAATTAACTTAAATGTTTCTGCAGAAAAATCTGAAATTCCACTATATTTTTTTAAAGCAAAGTTAATGTGCCCATTTATTCATCCTGTTTAGGATTGAGTTTCTGGTTCCTTCTAAAGTTTTCCCCATTCCTTCTACTCCCAGTAGCCCTTGCATCTTAGTGACATTATCACCTTGCTTGGGGATGGACGGATTTTAAAAAGTGAATCACAGTTAATATTAATTTGCAGATTGTACAGAATTGTTACATACTGATTACATTTTGTATTATTTTGATTTTTTTTTTATATTTGCAATTTATATAAGATTTACCACTTGGAAAATTTGGTACTGTTAAGTTTATGCTCTAATGTCTGCATAACACTGAATTACCTCCTTCTTTTTTTTTTTTAACTAGCCCCATTAAAGCCCTCAATTGGAATTTTTTAAATAAAAAAGTCATGCATGCAAACGAAAATTTATCGTTTCCTAAAATAAGAGAGAGAAAGAAAAAAAAAAAAGGAACTTAATGATACTTCCCTCATGTCTTCAAAACCAATGAAAGGAAAAATAATCGTTCTTTTTTGTTGTTTATTTTTTTCAAAGTTTTTTTTTATTTTTATTTTACAAATTTTACAACTATTGAATTATATTTCAGATTTTACATACGGAAAAAAATAGTTGAAATAAATCCTATTGCGTTTCAAATGCTATTTTCGGTTTTATTTCGTTTTTTTTTTTTCAAATACAAAGGAGGGCTCGGAATATGAGTCTAGTTTAAAAAAAAAAAAGGTTATAAATGTAAGGAGGTAATATCATGTAGAAATCTTTTAAACATTAACTTAACAATACATTCATTTAATCTTTTATTTTTAATTACTGTTTTGCAAAATCTTCAAAGTATGAAGCCAATTAAAAAAAATTACAACAAAAAAAAAACTTTAAAGATAATTTCAAGACAATATTGATGTTGGAGTTGGATCTTTGTTGGAAATTTGAAGGTCATCTGTTATTTCCAAATTATTTTCGGGATAGTCAAAAAAAATTCAAATAAAAAACATTTTAAAGCTAAAAACATTGTTTGCATAATAAATACGAACAATGTTATTGTTAAATTTCATTATTACCTCCCCGCCCCGCACGAGTAGGGTTGCCAACTCTGTGACTGATGCCAAAGGACAAAGTAAAAATATATTATAAATTATTATAACAATTTTTTTAACTTAATCCCTGTAGATACATATGACCGAAAATGGCATTTTTATATATATATTTTTATTTTACCTTCCAAATTCAAAAAGGACAGATGAAAAGAGTTTAAAAAAAAAAAAATTTTCCAATAAAAGACGATTGGCAACCCTACCCCCAATAAATTTTCATTTATCCCCCTTTAAGCGTTTCTTCGTGAACTTTTATTTCTTTTTTTATAAATCTTCAAATATTTTGCAAAAATGTATTACTAAAACAATGCCTAATCGTAATTTTTAATCAACTTTTTCTGCAATTAATAATTGAAAAACCGTATGCACACTTATTGAATTTTTCAATTCAGATTTAAGTGCACACATAGCAGAGGAAAAAAGTTCACTTTTAAATTATATGGCAAATTCAAATCTTAAAATTAAACATTATCACAAACTGTCATTAATTATATTTATTCATACCTGCAACAGAAGCTGAATACGAAAAAAAATGAATGAGCTTCAATCTCTTTTTGTAGTAAAGTTGTAAGCCGAAGCGTAAAACGTTCTTGAACGCCATCTCATCATTTTCGTTATTTAAACATAAAAAATACACGATATTTGTAATAAATAAACATTCAGAAATTACGACAAAGTAAATTAATACACTACTGGTGAAAATGTTGTTTTCCTAGTAATAGAAAAAAAAAAACTTATCATAAAAACAGACATACACGGTGGATTCCAACATGTGTTTCCGGTTTGTTTTTTTGTTTTTTTTGTTGACATACCTCATCAAATCTCGTTCATATCTATATGATTTTAAACAATCGAAAATTTTATTTTACATATAAATTTACAGCTTGTATATAATTATACTGCACATTTAATAAACAAATATAAATAAATGAGTTTCTTTAATTTATCGTCAATACGAGATTTTGCACAAATCTGATGTTACTGCTGATGAATTCGTCTTAGTCTGTTTGCTTACAATCGGTGTTGGCAGGAGAATTTACACAGTAACTATCTTTATGACAGCGAGTGTTTTTAAGCATGAAAACTGAAGATGTGGGTAAAGTTTGAAGAAGTACTGCTGGCAAATGCACTATGGTAGGTTTCAAGAGAATTCATCAATTTCTTTTTACGTGAACTTTGCTTTGTTTTCCGTCAACCTAAATTCCTTCAAATGTCTACTTCGTGTGCTAAGAAACCAAAGATATGTTTGTTCCTGTTGTTTACGACACTGGACCAGTTTTTATAAAATGTAATTCTTAAAAGAAAACCCTGTCACTTTTTGTTTAATAATTTAAATATATCCTTTTTAGCAATAGAATTAAATTTAGTTTTTTCTTACACGTGATACATCGGGGAAAAAACTATTGCTTTCGTAGTGTCGTTACTTCGTCATTGTTTAGTGTTTTTGTTGGTAACATGAAGTAACAAAAATAAAGTACTAAAGACTTAAAATAGTTTTATTTTTAATCCATATGCTAATCTCTTATTTGTTTGTTTACTGTCATCATTTGCTTTCAACTCAGAATCTTTGTTTTGATGTTAATCTTTTTGTTAAACTGATTGTGAAGACTGGGAAATGGTTTTTTGTTTTTAAGAATTTCCATTCTTAGTTTTTAATTTTAACTAAAAAGTAAAAATATGAAATAATGATTTATGGCAATAATTAGCTTTTTATACGGTCTGTAATTTTAGACAAAAAGAAAAAAGTGTTACATTTTTATGTAAATAAATATTACTTCATTTGTAGGTTTAAAAAAACCTTTAAAAGTAACTTTTTTCTTTTCTCAAGCTATGATTTTTTTTCTATTAAAAAAACCCAACTCTGTCACCTATTTACTAAGTAAATTTTACTTTGATTGTTTTGATCTTTCAATTAACTAACAAGTTTAAACTTCGATTTGTTGTCATGCTTTCTGATTTAAAAATTAAATTGAATTACTCGGGTTATTGACGACATTAGTTTTTTTTTCCTTGTGAGAAGAAATACCAATCCAGTTATTTCGTATATGAAAATATTGAAAGATAAATAATTAATTTTCTTTTTTTTTTTTTTTTTTTATACATTAAATTTTACCATTTTCCTTTTTTTTTAAAGATGACACTTTTAGGGACCACTCGACAAATTACGTACTTGGTTTTTTTTTCTGTCTAAAACACAAACTCACAAAAAAGGTTAAGAATTTTTTAAGATATTTAAAAAAAAATACTTTTTTTTTTATTCTTTCAATAATGTCATCACCTATGATGTGATGGTCAGAAAATATATCGATCGAATGACTTGATATTTGATTTTTAAAAAATTCAAAATGCAATTGTGTAACGCAACAACAGTAACATTATTATTATTAAATTTGTTTCATGTTTTGAAAACTAAAATTATAATACGTAACAATATTCACATTAGAATTTGTTAACTGTCAAACAAAATGTTTGCATTTATTTATTATTATCACCACTAAAATGAAAACAGAATAACGCCCCCCTGACACGTCCCAATGACAGGATCCAAAACGATGAAGCAACTACACAGATTACTTTTTTATTGTTTTGTTTTTATTTTAAAACTCTCCCTCTGCTATTTTCTTGTCAATGGTTCTTCCGCCACACTCTTAAATCCAGGGTGTGTTAATATTTTATATACCGTGACACCTTTCATGTCCCAGGCCATTCCTATATTTCTTGGCTGTCCGAAAAGAAAAGCAGCTTCTTTTTCCTTAAAACAGGATAAGCTGCTCAGCTCAGCTAAACTAAAAAAAATTTTGAACGTACAAATCATTTCTTTAAACACACACACACACACACACACACAAAAAGTTATGTTAAAAAATATTTCAACATTTTTTTTTTTTTTTTTTTTTTGTATGAATCAATTAAAAAATTGCGCTTTCTTTATTCATTAAAAAATCAGCAAAAATTAAACATTTTCTTGAAATTTTTATTGTACTTCAACAAGATATATGCCACTTTAGAGTTTTAAATCTATCACCGCTTTGATTATGTGTTTATATTGTTTTGTTTTTTAATAAATTGCATTTTAAAAAAATAATATTGGTGTATTAAACTCTTTAAAACCACCAGATTTTTATGAGTATATAAAATTTGAATGAAAGACATCAATTGCAAAAAAGAGAAGAATAAAAAAAAAAAGCAATAATTTTTTTTAAATATTCAACAGAAATGAAAGAAACATAATCCATCATTTCTGGCAGGCACAATGTTAGAATTTAAAATCAAAACTATGTCAACTGGAATTTTTAATGTCATTTTTTGCCTACAAAGGTGCAGAATTTTATAAAACTAGCATAAATAATATTATTGTCAGCCAAAATCCAACAGCATTTTGTTGTCCTTTTTAAGACAAAACACTGTCTTATAATTCAAGAAAACATTCAACAGAGAAAATAAAAATAATGAGTTTGTGAATAAATCACATTACATTTGCGATTTCATGCATTGATCAAGCATTTCAAATAATTTGCCATTCTTTAGATATTGATGAGTATCTTCAGAGCCTCCAATGCAATTACCATTTACAAACACACGGGGAACCTAAAAGTAAAAAGAACAAAAGTATATTTTAAAATAGTTGAAAAAAGATTTCATGACTTCAATTTTCTCTGTGGGAAAATACAATAACTGATAAGTAAATGAACTTTTTCTGATATGCATTTCACTCTATCAAATGACCTATTTTATATCTTTTTTATTATTTACACTATTGATATACACCTGATGAAGGCCAGATGGCACAATGAGTGATAATAACAACAAAAAACAAGGACAATAGTCCAAGTATAAATAGTGTAAATAGTGGTAACTCTCATCCTAGAAATTCAGACAGAAGGTGATCAGGTGATAACAACAAAGATAAGGATAATAGTCTGAATATAAATGATAACAACTAATCTCAGAAATTTGGGCAGAATTTTTTTTTTTTTTTTAAATATTAACAAAATAAAAACAATCACTAGAGAGAATCTTCTAAATAAGAAACTTAAAAAATTCTTGTACAGATGTAAGACTAAAAGAGATGCTATAGAATAATTATAAACACTTCCACTGCTTTTTTTAGACATACTTACCATATATTTCACATATAAAGCAACCTATAGATATGACAAGACCCAAAATCTAGGTAAATTTTCATGATTTTATCTGATATTCGTAGTATAAGACAACCAACTTAGTCTCATATAATAAAACTGTAAATGACGACATTTTTGAGAAGCTTTTTGCATCAGATGGTGAGGATTATAGTGATTTTGGAGTGTTTTAATTATGTAGGTGGGTATCTTTATTTTTTTTATTCTGTAATAAAGATTTTATCGAATCTTAAATATTTTGTTGCTTAACACCAAAAAAACCTGCATAATGTATGCTATTGAAAAATAAAGTTTGCATGTAATACTAAATGTTGTTTTTATTTAACGCCACAATGATAATGAATTTTAATTAGAAATATAGATTTTATGTTATCCTAAATGTTATTACTTAACACTATTATGGGAAATAATGATTGGTGGAACACACCCATAACTTTTTACAAATCAAGAACAAAAGATTTGTTAATGTTACTTGTTACTTGTGTGTGTTGCTTAGCAGAACTTTTGCAAATTGTTATGTAATCATCTCTTTGAATATTGCATTTTAATGTGAAATCAAGAAGTAAAAGTAGTTTTATTACATTTATAACCATAGTATTGTTTCAACTAGAAATATTAACATCGGTAATTACCATACTGAGGCAGATGTTAGCCAACCACAATCCACAGTGCAAGCATTTAGCCTACTTACCAGTGCCCATACACCACAGGATTTGATTTGGTTTGTTTTATAGCATAGCAAACTCAATGGGTTATTTAATACTGACAAAATTTTTATTGCAGGTAATATTTTTTTTTTAAACATTTATTTATGATAATATTTTTTTTTCAAACATCTATTTATGATAATATTTTTTTTCTTCAAACGTCTATTGAAGGTAATATATTTTCCAAAAAATGTATTGCTAGTAATTTTGTTTGTAATAATTCTCCTTTAAAATGTATTGCTGGTAATAAAAAATATATTACTGGTATTAATACCTATTTTTACACCTCCACAGCATTTTTGACCCTAGATTGGGGTCAACTATTTGCCCATAGATGGGACTAACAGGTGCTTCCACTTTAAGAAACATTGCTTGTTGTTCACACACACACACTATATTGATCAAACTAAATTTATGAATAATAATATTGGACATAACACAACATGCTTATCAAAAAGACACATTACATCTCTCAGACCATAGCTCAATTAGTTCCCATTTACAGACGGAAACCTACCAAACTCCATCTGAAACATACTCATAGAAAATATGACTATAATAGCCTCATCCACATATAAAAAAAACAGCTAAGCAAGCACTAATAATAAAAATAAAAAAGTCAACATTCAATAATATCAACTATGAACAGGGCTACAACACACTGACCATGTTTGGAAAATAAAAGAAAAAAACATTCCTATCACTATAGATATACATATATAAATAAATTTACGTATTTAGTTAAAAATAAAAACAAAAAAAAAAAAACCTTGATAATGGCTAACAGAATAGCTGAAATTGCTTGGATATATAGAACTTTGTCTAGAAAAGAAAAATACTTATACAAGAAAAATTGAATAAAAAGCTTAATTGCAGTACCTGATCATTGTCAGATGTATTTAATGAAACTTGCATAAAAGAGGGATTGCTGCTCAAATACACAATTATATCTATATGTTTTCAAAACACTGTGAAATGTTGGACACTAGCATTTATGTCATAAACTAACTAGTACTTTGTGCTATTTCAAAACTAGCGTAGACATATAGCAGCATACAATACAACCTGTTTTGAGATGTATTTTTATTGTGTGTACTGCAGAATGTTTAATCAAAACCAAAATCAGTGACTATGAGAAATCACTGTCAGCATCATTATAGTCATTTATTTTCATCAAATGGCAATTTCCAATTTCTCCCAAAATGGGCCAGCACAGCCAGGCAACAATATTATAATAATACTACGGTGAAAGTGTTAACAAAGTTGATAAGATAAAAGTCAAAAT